GTAAAGAGAGATTACGTATCTGAGATACGTTACCGTTTCCAGCCCCCATCTATCACCCTAAAACAGCGAGGCCCCCGGGGCGAGTGAGTGATGGCAGAGCAAGCCCAGAGGGCCAAGTGCACTGCCCAGGCCCGAGAGGGCAAGGCTGGCGCAGGGGGAGCGGGCAGGGGCAGAGAAGGGCACAGCGCCACTGAGGCACATGCTTTACTGCTGGTATATAGAGGGGGGAAGGGAAGAGAAACGTTCCTGACATGAGATTCATGTTCCCCTGTTTTCTCTTGAGTGACAGAGTGCCTCTGGTTAGGTTGCGTTGGAACAGTCAGGAACTTAAGAAACAAAAATATCCATGTACTTTTCCCTGTTGCTATGTATTCCTTCTGCAGCAAAATACTTCTGTCTTGTTGCAGAGGTGCAGCATGGCCTTTCTGTGTGGAGAGCAAGGGAAAGCAGAGCTCTGACATGTCCTTCATGAATGCTCCTTTAAAACACCGTGTCTGTTCTTTTCTTTTAAGACCCCAGCCTCACAACGTGCGCAGACCCCGGCGTGCCTCTCTTTGGGATGCAGAACAACTCCCAGGGCTACCAGGTACTGTCGCGGCAGCCCAGGGTGCTCCCGGCCGCGCCGTGTTGCTTGCCGTGGTTAGCCCTACCTGAGGCCTCGTCTGGAATAACGCGTCTTCCTGCGAGTGGGACGTCATGGCGTGCTCCGTTAGACCTTGGAGTGCATTTGTACTGGATTAGCTAGCAGTGTATTATTTATGATATTAATTACAGTGCTAATTAATAGTTATTAGTGTAATTAGTATTCACATTGGAGACCTGATTTCCATTCGTTTTCAGACTAAATCCTGTAGGTGGTTTTACTAATCTCAGCTCCCAAACAGTCAGAAATCAATGGAATGGAGAGGAAAAACCCAAGCAATCCCCCAGCGCGGTCCGCCTACGGACCCCGCGGCTGGCCTCGGCTGTGGGAAGGGCCACGAGGCTGGGATACTTAATTCTGTGCAGCTTCTCCTGCCAGAGTGGATCTTTTCAGTTTTGCTGCTAATTAGTTGTCTTAATCTTGGGTTTGAATGAATTAATTCCAAGTTTTAATTAATACTAAGACACTGTAAGTCTGGCTTTTGTAAGGGCTGCCAGTCTGAGAGCTGCACACCGTAGTGCAGCCCGCTCAGGTGTTCACATAGGGGACGGAGTGATGGTCGGAGAAGTGCTCCAGGGAAATCCTGCCATTCGATGTGGTACGGGAGGGACCTTAGCAGCCAACAAGAGTCTCTAGGAGCTAATGTGTGATCAAACCTGACTGCAGGGCCTGCAAGGAAGTGGTACCGCATGCATGGTGCAGCCTCGCCAGGGAGGACGGACAAGATGCTCAAAGCCCGACTTGGCATTTCTGTTTTCCATGTGTTCTGGTTTTAAAGCATAAACCAGTTAATATAACATGGATCAAAGCCAAACAGTGTCATAGTGCCATCCTGTTTGAAGCAGAAAGTGAGACTGACAAATTCACCTTCGTTATCTTACTGAAACGAAATACAAAAAGTAAACAGTCTTCAGAGAGTTAAGTATACCTCAAAAATGTGGAAGAGTCAGTTGTCAGTTTTTGTGATCCTTTTCACTCTTCACGGTCCAGACTGGCATTTACAATGTGAGTAAAGGATGTTTGGTTTTACTAGTTATTTTGAATATCCCTTCTGACAAAAATTTCAGCCGTTTCCAAATATCATCCGTGTCTGATGCTAACTTGGGTGTATTTGTATGACACAAAAGCCTTGCCTATCACTGCAGGAAGCAACTCTCTGCACAGTTAACAAAGGCAGCAGGTTTCCAAGGGCTCTGAATGCTTTTTTGGTACTAGACTCTGGCAGAGCGGTAAGCGCAGAAAGCAGGCAACTCACCTTTTCAGTGTATAGAAGAGCGGAAACTATACGTATTTTATTATAAGCGTGGGTGAATTACATTCCACTGGAAGGTTTGTTGTTTTGTCTCCTGTTGAAGCAGGTGGGGAGCATGATTTTTTTCAAGTGTCAGAAAGGATACCTGCTGCAGGGATCGACCACCAGGACCTGCCTCCCCAACCTGACGTGGAGCGGCGTGCAGCCAGACTGTGTCCGTAAGTGTTGGGAGAAGTTTTATCGAGAACAGCACATGCCTTTGACCATGCTGTTGCCCTGTTTTGTTGTTGCTGTGCTTCACCATGTGAATAGCTGGCTCTTCAGAGGTAATTTTGTGGGAGGGCTCTGAAAGACCATGCCCTTGAAGAAAAGGGGGATCACATAGGCAATTGACTTGACTGTACCAGCAGTCAGTTTTGATTTCAGATAGATATTTACTTGTTCCCTCCTTAGAGAGGCAATTTGAGGGGAGGCTTTGTTTTGTGTTTCTGAAACCGTATTTGATGAGCAAGATTGAGCTCACGCTCCAGGGACTGAGGTTAACATTTAGCCGGAAGGCCTCTCCAGCAGAGGGATGTTTCTCCTGGTCTTTAATAACTTGTTGCTCTTTCTTCTAAGCTGCCAATCATCTTTTCCCTGCTATAGCAAAAGGAATTTAATTTAATGTATTTAAGCTGTAATATCCATTGTGGCCTCTGTATCATCTTATCATAAGTATTAAAACGCTTCTCCCTCTCCCTTGTGAGATGGTTTATTGGTGAGATATATTTCATGTAACAAACCCTACAGGTCCAGCAGCGGCGAGCAGCCCAGTCGGGTAGCCCAGCACAGGGGCTAGCCTTTAAAATCTCTTACAAGCAGCATCAGGGAGAGGGGGCAGCTGAAGAGGAAGGCGGCTCCCCCCTCTGCTTGCCGTGGTAATGCGAGAGCGACCCCAGCTCGCAGCTTTGCCTCTCTCTCTGCTGAACTGGAAGATTGCAGGGATGAAGAAACAGCTGTGGATTTAAGTAGGGTTTTGCCTCTGTTGCTAGGTGCATTGAAATAGAAGATGTGTTTTTGGCTTACTCATGCTAGCAAGAGCGACTGAGTTGTTGGCTTTAGATTTTCTGTAAAGCTTCCTCCATCCGCAGCGTGGAAGGGCAGGATTAGATGCAGTTGCTGCTAACACAGCGCTGAATGTCATCTCCTGGCTAGGGCTGCGGGCTTGGAGCCGGGACGCCGAGATACTGCTTTATGACTGTGCGAGTTAGTCTCTCAGCCTTTCTGGGTTTTATATTTCATTCTCTGTAAAATGAGGATGTAGATAATACCTCATGAAGGCTGTTGAGGATTTGCTTTCATTCTTGAGCAGTTTGAGAGCTACAGAAAGGGCAAATTTACAGTGTGGATGAAAGAGAGCTTCCTGGCTATATGATTTATTAGGTTTGTGTTGTAACTTCTCAAGGAAAATGGTGACACATTTACAGTGGGACCTGACAGAGCAGGGCATACGCATGCTCTGCCTGGAGGCAGGGAGCTGGACAAGCCGATCTTAGATTTCTGTGGGCCAAATCCTGAAAGCTAGTGAGCACTTCTGGGAATTTATGAGTGTTGTATGCTTCCGAGGACTTACCCTGTGATCCTATTGACAGGCAGGTGCAAATCATTAGTAAGCACCCATCCTGTGAAGAGAGGCTTTTAAAAAAAGCAGATGCACCCTCACACCCACTAGACTTACTGACTTCACCTCCTGGACCTGGATGTGCTGTGAAGGAAGCTCAGCGCAGCTTTGTCTGTGGGCAGCTTTCTGCCTGTGTATACACCTCGGACACAGGGTTGGGGTCAAGGTTAAGAGGAGGGTGGCTACCCAGTGTCTTTTCCTAGCCTTTCCAAGTACAATTACAAAGGAAGGCATTAAACACAGGGGTTTTTTTCCCTGCTTGGAGGCAACTATAACCACGTGACCACAAGAAGTCCGAGCTTCTGCTCAGCTTCAGGAAGGTGAATGGAGTTTTCTTCTCTTACGTGTGTCAGACACAAGATCTTCAGCATCACTCAGTTATGAGGTTTTTTCCTTAAAAAGCAGGGGGATAACAGAGTCTGATTTTCAGTTCATGGAAGCTGGAAGTGAGCGAGGGATCCCCTGAGAGCTTTAGGCTCTCAGAAAGAGCAATCTCGCCGGCGAGGCAAGGGAAATGGTCTCATTAATTCATCTGGTTGGGAAATATCCGAGCATGGCGGGGCCTCCCTCGATGATCAGAGAAAATTTTGCTGAAAAAGCTCTTCGAAGTGACTTCTGGCCCTACTGACATCGTTGGTGTCGTCGTTCTGCCTTTCTGCGTGTGCACAGACGGTGTCTCTCATCTCTGTTTTTCCTGTTTATCACCGTCTCTCATCTCCATTTTTCAGCTCATCACTGTAAACAGCCAGAGACCCCCTCCCACGCCAACGTCGGTGCTCTGGATTTGCCGTCTCTGGGCTACACCTTGATCTATTCCTGCCAGAGCGGCTTCTACCTCACGGGAGGCTCTGAGCATCGAACTTGCAAAGCAGATGGCAGCTGGACGGGGAAACCACCCATTTGCCTCGGTAAAAGCGCTGAGCACCATAATATAGGCTAGCCTAGATCAGCCTGTATTTCCTGTATTGACAACATAGGCTTTCCTATATTGGCACTACCGCGAGAGAAATGTCTCAGCAGTGTTTGATGCCAATATTAATCTGTTGTGGATTTGCCCCTCTCTTTCAGCGGATGTCCGACCTAGTGGGAGGCCAGTCGGCACTGCGCGGGACCCGCCGCTCGCCAAGGTGTCAGGTACTGTCCCCGGGCTTCTCCTCTGGAGGGAGCTGTAGGATGAGATCTTAGGACTGCCCCGCGGCAGGTTACCGGTCCCATCCCCTCCGCCCTGCCCCGGTGTCAGAGCACGCAGAAACCCGATTGCTCCCTGCAGATCTTAAAACTGTCAGGCTGGCAAAAGCAGCCTGTGTGCCCCAGCCCATTCGTCCATGCTCTGCTGGAGAATGGACAGGAGCCTCGAGGGAGCCAGGCGCCAACGTCCGCTGGTCTCCCCAGGGCACCCCTGAAACTCTAGCCCTCCGCGATGCTTTAGATTAGAGCTTTTTTGAAACTTTTTTTTTTTTTTTAGCTTTTCCTAAGAACCTATTTTTGATTTTTGTTTGTTTTTAAAACTTTTCAAGGCTTTTTTAAATCAAAACAACAAAGTTAATGTCATTAGCTTGTCTGTTCTCCCTCTCTTTCCCTTTTGTTCTCACTGATGAAAATGCAGAAAGAGAGCGGGTGGGATCTGAGAGATGTAAATACATGTTTGTGAATTGAGGGAAAAAGACATTTGTTCTGTTTCGATGTCTGAAAAATGAAAATAAATGGCAATGCTCTTGTTTCTTTCCATGCCCGATTGCTGTGGTTTCCAGTGCCTGCAGATGTGTTTGCAAGGAATTCCCTTTGGAAAGGCTCCTATGAGTACATGGGGAAAAAGCAGCCTGCAATGCTGTCTGTCACTAGCTTCGACCCTGCCACCGGTAAAGTCAATGCCACATTGATAGACCACAGCGGTGTGGAGCTCCAGCTGTCTGGTAAGGATCTGACACCAGCAGTTTCTGGGGAATTACACTCACGGTGTTATCGCATCGTTCACCTTTGATAAGCAGCATCACGCAGCAAAGGACGCTGTGCTCTGTTATCCGAATTATGTTGATTGCTTGACAGGGCTTGACAGAGCCACCCAGTTTTGAAGTCTCTGATCTTTTACTGGACCAAAATGGAGAGAGCCGTATACCTGGGTTTGCTTTGACTCCACCTGAAAGCAGCTCAGGGCAGTCCGTAGTCTGTTCCCTTTATGCCGGAGCGGCAGGCTTGTAGTTAAATGCAAACAAGATTAGATGGCATGAGTACCCTTGTCCCTGTCCTCTATGGAGCACCACGCTGTTACCCATCCAGTAACGTAACTGCAACATTAACAGTTGAGTGTCTTCCCATGTGCAAAACATCTTTGAATATCCAGAGTTGGGAGGGGGACACGCAGGCTTGTGTTTTTGTGGTCCGTTTCCGGTACTTCCCAGTGGTAGGTTTATAGGAGTTGTTGCCCGCTCTAAGAAGATAAGGTGGTTTCTCCGTTCTCTCAGGTGGAAAGTTAATTGCTTTGAACCTAAATTTTTTTTTTGTTGTGATCTAATGATTAAAAATCACATATTTTCCAGGCATTTACAAGAAAGAAGATGTGCACCTCCTTCTCCAGGTTTATCAGATAACGGGGCCAGTGGAGATATTTGTCAACAAGTTCAAAAATGATAAATGGGCTCTGGATGGACACGTAAGTGTGTTGGCACATCATACACAAAATAGCTGGTAACAATATTAGGCTGTTATCCTCCAGTGACCTGCCGGCCTGCAGGGTACGTGGAGCAGTCTTCCAGCACACAAGGCAACATTGCATGAGCGGTCAGCTCTTCCCACTCCCTTGCAGCTATATGTTTTCTTATTGCCCTGCGTTTTTAAATCTGTAAGTTTTCCAGTTAGCGCTAAAGGAGGAGCCGACGTGACTAATTCTATTTTAGCATTTCATGTCTGTTAAACATCAGGCTAGAAGAACTAATCTTCCCTCACGGAGTGAACTTTTCACCCCAATTTCTGTGTCTGGTAACTTCCCATGCCCTTAGGAGACCCACTGGAGCTTAAAAGTGTGCAACTCATTCACCCGTGGCCAGCTGTAGCCCAGGGCCACTGCTGTCCTTTTTGAGTCAGCAGTATGGTCTGTAGCTTATTGCAAACAATATTTTTTTCCCCTTGAGAACTGAGAGTCTTAACAAGTTGTTGGGCAGTTAGACTTCTTGAAAAATACCACAGTTTTCTGTGGAATTGAATTAAATGAATGCTGTGCATAAAATTGAAGGAGGCTGTGGAAATGGAGCAACAAGCCGCTCATAAACAGTTGGTTAGAGTAAGGTCTTGAGCAAAACCCGGATGCTGTGTTGCTGGAGCTAACGCCAAGCTTCACGTGCTGTGGCAAACAGCACCTTAGAAGAGTGCAGAATAGTTTGTTTGCTCTGCTTTATGCCCTAGATTTTTTTCTATCAGATTTAACTGTGAGCTACTTAGTGCCAGTCTGCATTTTCACATGGGATCTCCTAGCACGCTCATTCAAACGCTTTCCAGGCCTTCAGACTTATGTCTTTACCGCACTTGTGTCTCCCTAGGCACCGGTATTCGTAGTACGATTTGGAGGCGTGACTGCTGAGAAAGTTGTAGCTTCCATGCTCTGTGTAGTTACTGTAATAAGTTTTTTTATGTGGAAAGTCATATCTGTAACTGTGAGCAGATAAAGGGCCTAGTGACAAGACAGGTGCTAACATGCTAGGAAAACATTGAAAAATCCATTAATCTCTGGCCTCTGTCATTACAGGTCTCATCAGAATCATCAAGCGGCACGTTTGTGTACCAGGGCTTTGTGCGTGGCAAAGGGTTCGGGCAGTTTGGCCTTCAGAGACTTGGTAAACTTTCTCTGCTTACTCTTTTTTGCCTTGATTGCTGAAAGCTGGATTTTGGTGGTAGTGGAAGTTTTCAGACTGGAAACGTTTTTGCTGTCCCTGACTTTAATTCTCAACACTGGTGGGCCAAGTCTGCAGCAGGTGGAGAATCCTTTGGTTCTGCTGACTTGAGTGGTGGAGCTGGAGCTTTTAACGTGGGCCTTTTCTCCCTCCTCAGGAGGCTCCCCCAGCCTTCCTGTGTCCTCCTCTGTGCCTGTTCGTGGGCCACCAGCACCATACACCGTGTTCCAGGTTAAACTTATCCTGCGAAGGTGTAGAGGGAGAGATGCCATCGCCTCTGCCTCGTTTGGCGCAGCACTTGTCCCGTTGCACAGGAGGAGGGGAATCCCAATTGCCAGCCTGTGTTTTCACCATGGAGATTGCTTCTTTCTGATCTCCAGTTCCTGCCTGCACAATGGTTGCAGCAGGTCTGCTCTGGCTTGTGTTTAAACGTTAAATAAGTTAGACATTGGATATTTCGGCAAGAGGGACTAAACCCACCCTTGACTTGGATAACACAGGATTTGGGGGAGACAAACAATACCACGTAACAAAAGCATTTTTAACTTGGGAGCTTAAGTGAGGAATTTGAATAAACAGGTTTCTATTCGAAGAGGGTAAGAGCTTTGGAGGCACAAACAGCATCGTGGGGTTTTTTTTTTGTCATGTTACCGGATGTCTCACCTAAGAGCCCAAGTCTCACTACTACTACAGAAAGCATCTCCATTCCACTTTCAGAAATCACCTAAGGCACATGGAAGCTTAAACTACCCAAGGTCTAAGCTCCTAAATCTCTCTTAAAATGTGACTTGAGCTCTTAGATCTGTTGGGAGTTTTGGAATGTGACCCCTGAGCCTTGTCACCTTTATTCCAGCCTTTGGAACTCTCTCTTAAAGCCTGACACTAAGCTTCCAAGTAGCTGCATTTTTGCAGAATAAATCTATTTACATCTCTATTTAATTCTACTTTTAAATAAATTATGATACTCAAACTCGCTAGATCTCCAAACCGTTCTGCATGTGACTTGGAAGCTTTGATTGCCGTTTACAGCAACACTTGCAGCTATCTTGTTCTCTTGTTGAAGATGTAACGCGTAACTCAACCCACGTTTCTTGCAGCTTTGGTGTGAAATGTGTTTGTTTGTGTTGTGTTTCAGACATCAGCATGATTGAAAATGATCCAGAATCAATAGGACATCATTTTGCATCAAACAGCAGTTCTGTGGCAGCTGCCATTCTTGTGCCTTTCATCGCCCTGATTATTGCAGGGTTTGTGCTTTATCTCTACAAACACAGGTGGGTGTCGGGAATGACGCCAGTAAGTGAAACAAGTTAAGGGGGCTGGCAGAAATATTTGTGAGCTTGACTTGAGAGTAATCCCCTGGTTCTCTTCTAATTCAGGAGGTGAAAAAATAATGGAGCGAGCGTGTGTGGAGGGGAGCGTGTGTTGGGAGAGTTTTGTTGTCTTTTATGACCACTAATAAGATTTACAGCAACATTAAGTAAGATAAGGCAAAGTAAATTTCAGACTTCAGCATTCAAGATGGCTTTGCTTATGTTGTAAATTAGTTATGTCTCATGATCGATGCAGTGCTGGGAAATGTTGTTGCGCTGCAAAGGACTGTGTAAATTGGCTGCTCTACAGAGGGAGCATGCTCAGGACTATACCTGAGCCTGGAGAACTTCCTGTGCTGCAGGTGTGTAGGCAGATTTGCTATAGGTCCCTTCTGCCTTACCCCTCCAAAATGTCTTACCTCCTCCAAAAGCAACTTTCTCCTGAGGCCTGTCAGTGCTTTGCTGCTGGCTACGGCAGGAGTGGCCCTGACCTCTCTGGATTTTCTCTCTGGCATCCTGCAGGAGAAGACCAAAAGTCCCATTCAATGGCTATGCAGGCCATGAAAACACCAACGTCCGAGCAACGTTTGAAAACCCGATGTATGACCGAAACCTGCAGCCCACAGACATCATGACCAACGAGACGGAGTTCACAGTCAGCACCGTGTGCACAGCTGTATAGCACTCGTCCCCTCGTGCGGTGAGTGGGCAGAAAGGCAGCGCCGTGCCGTGCTGGGGCAGCCGTTCTCCCATCTGACCCCTAAGCCAGCCTGGCTGCTCAGGTCATGATCAAAATCCCGGTCAGCTGTTGAGCGGGTGTCTGTGCTGCTGACCGTGGCCTTGCCGCGGCAGCCTGCCCGGACGGCGTTTCGGTCTCGCTGGCAGGCTATCCAGAGCCTTGCGTTTGTCTCTTTTAAAAGCCATCCTGTGGGCTAGATCAAAGCAGTGGCTCAAACGAGCACCGTTCGCCCACCAGATATCTCCCTGGGGCGAGGGATGCAAAACGCAGTGTCGCCATCTCTGGGTGTCAGATGCTCGCCGTAAGCTGGGCCCGTGGGCCAGCCCCTAAACAACCCCGCCGTGAGAACGGTCGCCAGGTAGGGAAGGCGGCGTGAGTCTCTGAGGGGGATCGTTCGCTGTGTGAGCCCAGCCAGGTGTTTTGTGCAGCGGTCGGAGGAGGATAAAGCGGCGTGGGGTTTTGTTGTTTTGCTGCCCAAGCAGAGAAGAGTAACTTCACGTCATAAAAGCACCCTGTGGCCCTAATGGGCACTGCTGGACTGGAAAGTTTTAGTCCATAAAGAAGCTATTGCAGGCTTTCCCAGTGTTTCTGTGGGTAGTAACAAGCTGTTTCTTTCTCTCTCCCCCTCCTTCCCCGTGGTCCCAGACTCCTCCGGGGTGGGTATCTAGTTGACCATTGTGTTTCAGCTCACTAGTCTCCATCCGTTCTCTCCCCTCCCCATCTCCCTCTTCCCGACCTTGCTGCTGCTGTGGAGAAGCTGCTACACCTTGTTGGACTTTGCGTCGACTCTGAGAGACGGCGGGGTGCCCTCCGGCGGCTCGGCCCGCGCCCAAGGGGCTGCTCCGGCTCCGCTCCTCCTTCCCGGCCTCCCGGCGGCTTGCAGCCCCGTGGCAAGACCTCTCTCTCGGCACAGGGGGACCGGGGAAGCCGGGTCGTGAGAAGGCTTTTACAACCCGCTCTTTGCTATCTGCGGCGAAGGCCTGGCAAGCGGCCGTTTTGCTGGAGGGAGCAGCTGGGTCCCTGGTGCGCAACCAAGCGCCCGTTGCTTTCGGGAAGAGCTTGCAAGACAGGCAAACGCAGGTTGCGCTGCACAAGACGACAATCGAGTTAATGGAAAATACCGGTTATGGGACACGAAGAGTAGTTGCTTTGTCATGTTTGTTTCTTTATCAGTTTGTCTAGTGCAGGGTTTTTACAGAGGAAGAGTTTTCAAATGGGACCTTTTCTGCAAGAGAAGCAAAACCTTTCAAGTTTTTCTCCTCTTCCCCATATTTAACGTTCCTCTGTAGATTCTCGTTGGGTTTCTTCTGCCCTCTGTTCATTTTAATGTTGCTTCTTTGGAAACTGAGACCGCGTTCAGTGCCGGTAAGGAGTCCTCTCCCCACCCTGGCCCTCTCCAAACAGCTGTCAGTTTTAACCGCACCCCAGCAAGGAAACTGCTGACAGACAGTAAGGCACAAAAACCCCTTTAAAAACAACTCTAACAAATACTAATTTCCCCCCAACAGCATTCAGAAACCTTTACCCTTTCCACATTGATCCTCCAAATGGCAATGCAATAAGTTTTTATTTCTATCCAGAGCTGTTCGCTTTATTTCCCTGGGGCGGAAAGGTTGGTTTGGCTTTCATGAGCACAGATAAGGCGGCTTGACATTTTTCTTCCCTTAGAAAAGAATGATGCTTTTGTGAGGACGCTGCCCTCCGCTAATGAAGAGGAGAGCTGCTCTTGTTGGTTTAGGATTTTCGTCTGTTTGGTTTGAGTCAGTCTTTTGTAGGCCAGGCTGGAATCAAAGAAGGCAACAGTACCGTTTTACCAAACTGTAAATCAAGCACCTCTCTGACATACAGCCGACTAAGAGCGGTGTTAGAGTCAGTGAAGAGCTCTTTTTTTTTTGTAGAAGACTTTGAAGGGGAAACAAAATTAAAAGAAATGGGGAGGTGTTTACGTCCATGGTTTCTTTTAAACACTAGGTTTCCCCCACCTAATGTCAGCTGAGGTTTTGTCTAATGAAAACCACAAGGTAATTCTTTTTCCTGTTTTGTTTTTCCTTTTAATTGTGCGTGTGTGTATATATATAAATATATATTATTATTTTTTACTTCTGTCTCTTATTCAGAGCTCTTAGAATAAGCAGCGTTCGACAACCTATGTGCTGAACAGCCAGCCTGCCAAAAAATGCCACCTCTGCTCCCCAAAGCTTGCAGAAGTGTTGTGGTTTATTCTAGAGAGGTGGGTGCC